TTGTCGTCGTCGGCAAGATCGTACATCATGTTGCCGAAAAGGCCGATGCTGGCTCTCTCTGCCTGGAACGCATCGATGTAACTGACACGCTCGGCCAATGACTGCAGATGTGGTACAGACTGGTCCGAGATTGTTTCCTTGCTATCCACGGTTGTCTCCGACAGCTCTGTCTTGGAAATGGCATTGGTTGCTGGCACAGAAGTTCGTGAGATGGGTTCCGGCATGGAACCTGGCATCGGAAGAGCGACGCCCGCCTTGGAGCCTGTTCCAGCGTACCCTGCGGAGCATTCAGCCAAGAGGTCATCAAAGCTTACGCAGGGTACAGCTGCACATTTGGGTTGATTCAGTGTGGGTATGTCGTTTGAGTGACTTCTTTCACGAGGCCAGTCTTCGATAGTGGTCTGTGGCTGAGATGAACTTGAATCAGACGACAGCAAAGAGTCCGAAAGCTCAAGTGGTCAGCTGCAACGCATGACTGCAGTATAGAGGCGGAACCCTCCTACGCCTTATCCTCGGTAGTGGTCATGTAGAACGGTGTGGTTGAAGGAAGATATGGCTGAAGGCAACTATGACCTTGGAGCTCCACTCCGCCTATGACTGCTACTTGAAGCCTTCATACTGGTGCCACGCCGCTGCACCTTTCCGAAGACGGTTTACAGCCACGGACCATTTCTGAGATTCCGTACAGGCCTCGCATCACGAAGGTCGCCACCCAGTTGTCAGCATCGTTCTCAAAGTCGTGGAACTTCAATATTTGGGCGATGACTTGCGTCGATAAAATGGCAGGTGAAAATGCAGATAGCGCAAACGAGAAGCCGCCCACAGGGTCCGAGAGCTGCATGAGGGCATCCAGGAGCTCTCTGCATTGCTCGGGTGGGCTGACCTTCAGGTCATGTGAGGATGCAAAGTTGAGCATGGCGTCGGCGGTGCTCAATGCGGGTAGGATGGCAGAAAACAGCACGAAGCTCGTCGCCGTAACAGCGTTGACCGTGACATGGAGTCGCGCGATGGTACGCCACAGCTCCACGGCACTGTCGCACGAGGCATCGGAACCACTCTTATTCGCGTCCGCGGAGTATGCGGTGTGAGCAGTATTCACGGTAGATACATGCACGTCCAAGGAAGCCTGGACAACGCTCCGTGGCAGCCCGTATGTTGGAAGAGTGCTGGTAACGGAATGCAGGTTGTGGGAAGCTTGAACTGCATTCTCAAAGGATAGGAGCCCATGCATAATCCTGCCATGAAGTGGTAGCATGGTGTCCGTTAGGTCATGCCCTGGTATCGCAGAAGAGGCATGGACGCCGTCCACTGATGGTCCGATGGGCAGCTGAAGCGGCGGCCGGGTTGATGACTTCATCGTCAAGGAAGCGTGGACAGCGTTCCTGGATGGAGAAGCCCGCGCTGCCGATGAGGCTACGGACAGAAGGCTTGAGCCGCAAGGTTCAATTATCAAGCTGTGCCATTGTAAGGAATAAACGACAGAGAGAGCACCTGATCCTGGACCAGCTATTCTATTCTGTACGTCGTCATTCTCTGCTTCTTCCAGCTAGCTCCTCGCGCCCAGAGCTCCGATTCCGCTGCTCTTAGCCATCACAATACATAGTTTTCAAGCATGCATTTTAAACCCCCTCATGCACCCCAAAAGGAAAATACCAGAAGGTCGTCGACGATGTTCATAGTGTATACCTGTTAAATAGGTAAAAGGAACAGCTTTTACAAACGAATCCATCAACGCCAAAACTACATGCAGGGAATGGAAGCGCAGCACACCGCTTTTGCTGAGAACAGCAAAAAATGCGACGATGTGGTTAATTTTTACTACGCTTTTGAGATCAGAGCCCGAAACTAGATTGGTAAAAGGGCTTCTGCTCGAGTCTTGGCCCGTTGAGAACCCCCCTTGAAAGAACCGGTCGATGAGAACAATGCCAATTGTAATGCGTATGGCCTTTGCGAAGCAATGGAAAGAGAGTAGCCAAGGCAGAAGAAAAAGCCATGCCACTTTTACAACTGACACTGAAAACCTGAGGATGGGACCGAAGCAGTCCCGCAATGTCAGGTTCATCTAAAAACCGAGTGCCATTTCAGCATGTAGAGTTCGTTTAGCTACGCAGAAAGATTTTTGAAAAAATGTTAACACTTAATACCATACATGGTCGACAAATGAAATCCCATTTTGCTTCTAGTAGCCTTAGGATTTATCCTCTGTCCCAGAAAGCATATGCATTAATGGCATCAAACTTTTTTTATCAATTTATGTCTACTTCAACGCGCCCCAGTACATTCAAACAATCCTTACGGAAAGTAGAGAGTGAAGAACGTAAATATGCAACACAAGAGAAACAAGAAAGCTAGTGTCCAAGTAAAAGAATGTGGCGCAGCCCGAACAGTATATTAACGACACAAATGCCAGAATGTTCGCGCCTATATGCATTTGCCACCAAGTGTGACAGTGTTGGTGCGTGCAACCAAAGCTGCTTGGGTACTATCTACGATCACGTAGATAGGAACTAAGAAATCCACAACCAAAAATAGAAAAAAGGCAGTTTTTTTTTTGTTTGTAGCACTACGACTGCTTGCTATCAAAAGAGCGTGGCCGCAGTCACTAATCATGCTGTGTGCGAACCACATTTCATTTACAGCAGTTGTTGCATTGCAACAGTAGCTTACTCTAGAGAATCAATGCACGTAGGCTGCACAAGTGCTCCAAAAAAATAAAAAAATAAATGAAACCAACAATACACAGATAGCCATTCAGTATCCTCCATAGTGGATGCAAACAGCAGTTTTGTTTTAGCTACCGATCTAGAACTACATAGTGCGGTCACCATTAACCCTTGGACGTGTGGCTGCACATCAGGGTCGTGATAGCATGGCCGCACACAAGCTATGTGAGTGGGTGTTCAGTTGCCAACAATGCCCAGCACATGCCACCCCTGGGCCATTTCGCACGTGTGCTTTGTTTCCGCCGCTTCTAATGTATGGCGCGATGAGGAGTGCATGACACATGCGCACGTATTGCCTCTAACAGTAGGCCAATTTGTAAAATGTTGCTTGTGCATTAGCACCAATTAGTGTGCCTGGAATAGCAAAGAATCAAGCCAGCAACTCTGTCCCCACCAGCAAAGTACTGTGGTCACTGCAGCAGATTCTCAAAAAGTTCCTAACGAATTCTGGAAGACATCGCAGAGTACAGTAAAACCTCGTTAATTCGAAGTCACTGGGGCCGCAAGAAAGCTTCGAATTAAGTGGGTTTTCGAATTAACAGAACATTAAAAAAATTGGATGCAAGGAACTTAGAACCATTAAAAGTAATCAGTGCTCATCGTTTGCTATGCCGGCTAGCTTGAGGCTCCAAAGATTGCGTTTTCCAGCAATACCTGGTCTTTATTTTGCTGTGAACACGGAGGAATGGTGGACCTCGCTTCTGCCACCAAAAAAAAAAAAAAAAAAACGAGGTCGTGATTGAGTAAAATGTGTGCCTGCAGAGGACAAGACATCTTCACTGCAACACAGCAGTGACATGCGGGGAGCATGTCGCCTGCTCCTCGCTCCGTCAGCACGTCATGATGCAACCATTCGCAAATTCTTTCTATTATAATTATGAATTTAATAATGGCCAGCATGACGAAGCTAACGATGTTTTTTGGCTAGAAAAAACTATCTTTGAAACTTACAAACTAAAGTTTTCGAAGTAGGTGTTGCTGGAAAGAACTCCGCCAGAAGTGCAAAGATGCAAATGGCTGGAGCAACCGGCAATCAGAGGTTCGCATTACCACTAAACTGTTCTTTATTAATTTCTTTACAATCCCAGAAAGAATGGGTGAACCATGACTCTCTGACGTTGCGAGAAGCATGTGATAAGCTGCCCGCGCCTCACCGCTGTGCTGCAGTGAAGCACGGCTCATTTTCCGCAGGGGCACCTTTTGGTTGACCACGAGACGGGGTTCATTAAAGACGATAGTCTTTCTTGGGGACCTTCGACGCAAAAACTTTGGTCTGTTTGTCTGTACATTTGTCTGTTTGTTCACTATTAACAGCGTAGAGTACTCAATGCCCACCTATGTTTCTCAAGATTCAGCGTTCATACTTGTGCAATTGTTGATTAAAAAGCAATTATTGCACGTGTCTGGGGCACCATAACAACACGTATATATTCTGTATTTGCGCCTTTTACTAGAAAAAGCTTTCATAAGTAATTTTAAGGATCGTAGCGCTTATCACGTGGCGCTGACCATCCAACGCTTGCACGGAAAGGCGAGTGTTTCCAATGCTTTGCTAAAACGAGACTGTGGTGGCACCTACTCGTCGCCTTGCGTTCTACACCTCATAATTTCTGAGGCGGGCACGCACGCCCATCTCAGAGCCACGCGCTTTGTTTTGAAAAAAAAAAAAAAAACTGCCACATCGCGGTCATGTCTCACGTGTGACGTGACTTGATGCGCTCGTTCGCCTCCGCTGCACGCTCGACTCACTAACGCAGCGCCTCCAGAATACCATTCACCGATTTTCTTGAGCAGAACATTAAATAAATGTTTTGTTAACTCTCTCTACACGCAAGTGACATTTGCAGATTAAATGCAGATACGGGGCCAAATTTTTTTTCTTTCTTTTTTGCGCTGCAACTAGCGAGACTGGGGTGCTTCAGCTGCCATTCGTTAGTATCACTAGGTTGCATTGCTTTGTGGCTATTAATAGCCGTCGTTCCGCGGATACGAGCAAAATTGGGATCTAGAACTGGCACAAGGCACCCAAAGTTTTCCAATTAACCGGACTGGTGCCAGTTGCCACTTCAAATTATCCATTCAAACTTACATTGCAAAATACGGTACAGCGGAAATCCTTCTAACTAAGTGGGATTTCAAAATAACAAAGTTAAAATTAACGAGGTTTTACAGAATTTTCACTGCTTATTTCTGTAGCAAACATATCCACGTTTCAGCCTGCAGAATCTGTATGTGACCGAGTCCTATCAGAGCTGACAGAAGAAGCAGGCTACTGACCTTCATCAAAGTTGACGACCACCGGTTCAATGGCTTGGGGAAGGGTGGCAGTCAGGTCAGGCTGCTTGGCCCCAGGGGCCACCACTAGGGTAGCTGCTTCTGGGGCTACCACAGGCGCAGCAGGCACCGGCAGGATCACTGCAACGGGAATCAAAAGAACAAGGCGTTGTATGACAGACAACCATCAAGGAACTCTACTCTCGTCTCAGAATTTCCCGACCTGTGGGTCAGCAGCCGAGTACCTTGGCCACTATACCACCACGGCTGAGCAAGTGCAAGAATTACGTGAGTAAATACAGCACTAGGCTTGTGAGTGAATATTCAAGGCATTGGAATATTGAAACAATGATGATGTGTGGTGTTTTGTGGCGCAAAGAGCTCCAGGTCATAAGACGAGATGTGAACATTGAATTGTTGGGTGGCTGTATAAGGGCCTAAAATTATCGCGGTAAAACATAAAAGTAATAAAATAATGACAATGACATGTATCGAAATGGGTGGCAAAACGTTCTGATAATAAAACTATGTGTGAAGATATTGAGCACTAGCACAAGTGCCTCATCAGCGCTCTTGTGTCCAAGGGCCATGAGACAAATGCTTTTCAATGTATCTACCGCAGCCGCAACCTCTCTTGAGAAGTCGCGATACGCAATGCCTGCATATATTACATGATAGAACCAGATATTTCTTAAAAAAGCTAGCACAAATTTATGAGTGAAAAGTGGTTCCCTACCGATGAACATTGCAGTGTGTAATGGTATATGGTGGCGGTAGGGTAATGGAAAGTGTTTTCTTTGAGTGTCTAATTGCTCACACTGGATTAAGATGCGAAGAACTGTTAGTGCTTCACCACATCTGTCACACAAGGGTGGATCGCCAGCAGACAAATGATACGAGTTTGTCGTGTATGTGTGTCCTATCATGAGCCTTATTAGTTTACCTCTGTACGACATGATTTTGATACTGGCGGCCAATGACCAAGGTGTAGCTCATTAACGTTTAGTTCGTTTTGTGTGTGTCTATCCCACTTGCTCTGCCAGTAATCCCTGAGCTTTCGTTTGAGAGACAAATTAAGGGGGCAGACAGGTCTTTGACATTTTTTATAGACATCTTTTTAACAGAATGGAGCTCGACAAATCATTATTTGTGGAGTATGAGGAGTGCTTCTTGTCTGCTTTCATCTTAAGGAAACATACAAAAGGACATGTAAGGTCTCTGCAGATGAAGCGACCACTCATTTGACTCAATGTACAACTTTCTACGGGGCTGGTGCGAAAAGCACCCGTAGAAAGGCAGATGCCCAAATGGTGGACAGGGTCAAGCATTTGCAGGACACTTGTTGCTGCAGACTGATAAATGATCGCCCCAGAAATATTCAAATGAGTATTACAGTATTTGAATTCGTTCCTGATTCGAATTTAAATAATGAAAAACTTCGATGTATTCGAGATGAACAAATAGATGCAGATTAACCCGCATATAACCCCTGTAGTGTTTTCATTGCAGTGAAGGCGTGTTAAGCCATGAAAGCGCCTGTCTGAATATCCATTAGTTCACACGTATCCAGCTGTAGAGGTGGTTGCAGAGCAGTAAGCGACCGCTTAGCCGTGAAAACGCCTACCTAGGAGAAATCTGACTGCAGCAACGCTCCACCTCAAAGTCAAATGAACATATTACGCTCACATTGATTAATCACTTCTGAAAATTAAAATGTTATACAGTCGACTCCCGGTAATTCGAAGTCGCTTAATTGGAAGTTTCGGTTAATTAGAAATGAGCAAGTGGTCCCATCAGTTTTGCATGCAATGGTATAGAAAAAAATGCTCGATAATTAGAAGTTAAAAACCCATAATATTGATTAATTAGAAGTTTTTTCAATCGACAGTCTCGTCGCGACCGTAATTTTACAGTAAAATGGGGAACTTTTCATAAGCCAAAACATCTGCCGGACCGCGCTGGTGTCTTCGCCATCACTACTGTCTGCAGCGCCACAGATCTTGAAGCGGCGATCTTTTTAACGCTGGCGAATCGCATCGGCGGCATCGACTGACTCTTTAGTTGACTTTTGTCGAGACTCGAGTGTGTCACCGCGTCACCCGCGCGCTGGGTTGATTCCACACGTGTTTCCGCACTTCTGATTTTGAGTGTTGTGGTGGTGACGTACGTTTGATAATGGCAACTCTTGGCCCTTACCGAACGCTAGACCTAGCGACGAAAGTCGAAGTCTTGAAGGAAGTTGACCAGGGAGGCACCGCCAAACAAGACATTGCAAAAAAGTATGGCATTAAGCCTAACACGCTGTCGACTTTCATAAAGAATAAGCGCTCAATATTGGATGCGTTTGAAAGTCAAAAATTCAAGACATCGCGGAAGCGGATGCGCACCGGCGCCTACCCCGAGTTGGAGGAAGCACTGCTGATTTGGATCAGAGAGGCACGAAACAACAAACTTCCTCTCAGTGGTGAAGTCGTCACGGCAAAAGCGTCATCGCTTGCTGAAATGTTGGGCATCAACGACTTCGCTGCTTCGGATGGGTGGCTTACGCGTTTCAAACATCGCCACGACTTGATTTTTAAAAGCGTGTGTGTGGAGAAGGCGTCAGTCGATGAGGAAACGTGCCTAACATGGAAAGCGGGCAAGCTTCGCGAGTACCTCGAAGAATACCAGCCGGCAGACATTTTTAATGCAGACGAGACTGCGCTTTTTTATCGGCTGCTACCGGACAAGACCCTGACATTTAAAGACGACGACTGTTCTGGAGGCAAAAGAAGCAAAGAGAGAGTGTCAGTGCTAGTCGCGCCGAACATGACTGGCACAGAACGGTGTCGCCTGCTTGTGATCGAGAAGGCTGCCAAGCCTAGGTGCTTCAAAGGCGTGAAGACGCTTCCTGTGGATTATGCCTCGAACAGAAAGGCGTGGATGACATCCAATATATTTAAGGACTGGATCACCAAACACGACCGCAAGTTCGCGCAATCAAGCCGTAAGGTGTTGTTCCTTGTGGACCAATGTAGTGCCCACATGAACGTACCTGCCTTGAGTGCCATCCGTCTTGTGTACCTGCCTGCAAACACGACGTCCGTGTTGCAGCCCATGGACCAGGGCATAATAAAAAATGTGAAGGTATTGTATAGGCAGCATCTCGTCGAGCGCATGCTTTTGTGCATGGACAACACGTCGCAATACGAGGTGAGTTTGCTTTGTGCCATTAACATGCTAGCGCGAGCTTGGACCCGCGTGAAAGAAGAAACCATTGCCAATTGTTTCCGGGCCTGTGGTTTCATAAAAAACTCGGGGGATGCTTCTCCTTGTGCGCCAGTGGAAGTGCAAACAAATGAGCTTGACGACGGTAGCTTTCGCGCCGCTTTCGGTGACGTCCGTTTTGACGAGTATGTCGCTGTGGACAGCAACGTCGAAACATGCGGTCCACTAACGGACAGCGAAATCGTGCGGATGGTTCGGCCCCATGACTGCATTCCTGAAAATGACGATGATGACGACGACATCGGAAATGAGCCACCACCGAGGGCTGCCGATGTAGCTGCGGGTCTTGCTCTTGCGCAGCGGTTTTTCGTTGGAGAACACAACGCCGAAGAAGCACTTCGACACGTATATTCCTTACAAAACTTGCTAGCCGCAGCCAGATTCGGCAAGCAGAAGAAGATGACAGACTATTTTTCCTCAAAACTGTCGCGCTTTTAAACTAATAAAAGTGCCGTTTTTAGTGCTTTTTGCTTAATTCGAAGTTCGTTTAATTCGAAGTTTTTTGCGGTTCCCGTGAACTTCGTATTAACGGGAGTCGACTGTACAAGCTTAATATGCTCGAAATATAGTAAATTTTAAAGCATAACTTATTTTGCAGATTATAATTTGCATTTTTCTGCAAGGCAGATCCTGCTACTTTTCTTCAAAGTTCTCACCTTCTTTAAAAAAAAGAGAATATTTACACAGGCCTCGTTTCAAATTTTTTAAACAACATTGTGCAGATCACATGTGTCATGAGAAATATGCCTAAACCTAAAATTCGCTATTTGCACAAACCTCCTCAATACTGTCCTCTTTCAAAAGGAGGCTTCCTCAACTGTCTCAACTAATAGATTAACGGACAAAGCGCCAAAAATTAATGCCACTTACAGCCGGGTGCCCTCTGGGCGCCTAGCACATCTGGGATGGCAGCACGGGGCCGGCTGTGCAGGAAAACGCAGTGGGGCTTGCGACATCCAGATGGCTGGTTCTCCCAGTAACACGGGATTTGTGACCTGTTCTTCTGCAAGTCCAAACAACAGCAGAGAGATATGAAAACACTCAACACTCGAAAAGTACAACTTAAGCAATAGCATGACACAATTTCACCAGACTTCTTTTAGACAGGTCACTTCCTGTACACAGCAAGCTCCCATCCTGTACACAGCAAGCTCAACCACTCTTGAATGAATTATTCTTACGATAGATTTAAAATCTTTGAAACTTTCATTTCAGTATAATTCAGCTTTTTTTCCCCACTGAAGCTGAGGCTGACATCAAAATTCTTGCTTTTAAAGCTGTTTTAGAGCAGCTTGACGCAAGAAAACTGAAACTTATCAAAAATGTGCAGTATGTGCAGCTGTCTCACCCCAGATAAAAAAATGACTACAGAAACTGAAAATGGGATTTTTAGAACATTGATTTTTTTCGCGTTTTCTTTCCCCGTGTGATCCGCCTGCATCTCCCATTTAGTTGTATGCGACTTGTCTGGGTGTTATGACTGCCTGAAATGTGATTTGCACCTCATGATACAAGCGCATCTCGTAGATTAGCCGCAGTTAGGTTTCAACTTCTACGTAGTCGATGTTGAAACATAGAAACAGCAGTCCAGAAACCTCGCAATGTTACTTTTGTGCCACGAAAGTGCTCATATTAAAATAAGATCCTGTTTTAGCCGTCCACATCGGGTCAGTGCACTTCAAGTTCCATGTCTCAAGTGGAACGTGTCACGTCACTCACTGCTGCCGTGCGCAACGTTGCTTGGCTTTACTGCGCGACCACTGACCCTACTGACAGCAGAACGAAAGTAGCGAGAGCCACAGCAGCAACAACAGTTAGTGAACCATTTCCTGTCATAGCCTATGAGATGGCAGGCGTACTTGGTTCAACTGGGCCCTGCTAGATGGCACGACCTGTCCAGTGTAACCAGGCGAAAATTGAACTTTTAAGCCACTAGTGCCAATCTCCATAGTCACGTCCGGCAGTTCTTTTTTTACACAAATCATACAAACAAACAAGCACTTATGACGCCTCATGATGCACGGAAGGTTCTATATTTAGCGCTGCTAGATTGATTACTAGCGATTATTTGTAGGCAGTACCTTTCACATCATCGGGATCACTTTCCTAATGCTCTACGCGAAGATGTGTTCTCGTGCATTTACCTCAATTTCTCGTTAAGTAGGGCACTGCTGTTGATATTGTCATTTTAGACGTCATGCATTGAGCGTTCACTCTGACGTAAATTGTTTTTTTTTACTTTAGTGTCCCTTTAACAAGAAGCGGTGCTGTGCTCGTGTGGGTTAGGGTTAGAGTGATGGTTATGAAGTTCCACCTAGCAGTAGAGAGGTCGGGCCGGTGCACGTGAACCAGCGCACATTGATGGGCGGGTGCTGCATGGCACTACAGGCTGTTTCCCGTGAATTCCTCGTAGAGAGTCTGATGTCCGCTGCGCCGCCTTTGCGATACCTTGCATCTAATATGTCGGTGTGTTGTATTGGCAATTTCTGTGTGTTATGTAGCATGTCAATAGTGGTGCATTAGACTTGGCTAGCATATTTATCGAGATGTAAAAGCAGCGAAGAGGCTCTTGTGAGGTACACCTATGGGTTTGCATGACCACGTGGCTGTGCCCTTGTGTTACACAGCGGCGATTTCTCAGACCCCACAGACTATTGCTACAACAGAGCATCGAACTATCATTCTTACCCTGCTCTCCATGTGCCTGAACTTGCACGACTTCTTCATGCAGTTGCCTTCCTTCCAGGCTGGGCACACAGTTTCTGTGCCCAGAGCTGCTTCGCAGTGCCGGAAGGGACAGTCATCCCCCTAAAAGACAAAATGCAGTTCATCACCTTTGCATGACACCAAAATAGTAACAGTACTGTTTCTTCAACTGCAGATATACACCTCTTAGACATTATTTGCACTGCCATACTGTCCGCACAACAAGTTCTATGAGGGATTATTGTTAAAGGGCTCCTAATGATTCCAACAGCAATTATGCAGAAGCTTCAGGCACCAAGAGCTGTTATCGCCACTGCTGCCACAGATATGCTCAATAACATGTGCACAGCCTGGAAACAGAAATATGTGAAGTTCAACATATCAGGATTGTGAACACGCACGAAGGTATGAGCTCTGCTCCTTTAGGAGCATTCTACAAATTGCAGTGAAATGCTCCAAATTTGCAGCAGCACAAGCAGTGCAGTAAAAAAGGGAGAGGGGGAGTGCACTGCACATCTCATATCATCGTAAGACTACGAAAGTACTCACACCACCTCGCCAGCGTACTTGAGGGAGATACCATACTTAGAAATTCTGTTTTATTTATGGGTGAATTCTGATCGAACTTCCATCCTTCGTGTATTTCGACATGCTGATTTCAAATATGCAATAACTTTTTCTGTGCAACAAGTACTTTTCAAAATATTCAGAAATTAGTGTTTTCTTGCATTGGCTAATTGGAGAGTTTTCTCTTGAATGCTGGTAGCGATCAAAGACACTATCATCATATGAAAATGATGTATGGTAAGAGCTTGCAATGCTACAAGAATGAATGTTCTGGACTGATTTAGGCCAAAGCTACAACATGCAAAGAAGCTTAAGTAACAACCTGGAGAAAACTTTTTGTAAACATGTTCAAACTTTAAGCCTATTGCAGTCCCTTTTTCTAACAAAATTGCTGCAATAGGATAACTACGACCAGAGATATCGTCACTCCAAAGCTACACCACGATGTAAAATGCTGTTTTGAGAAAATGAGACATAAAAGTTGAAGACAAGTTAGAAATAATTATGGAAATCTCTTGAAGAGTAGAGTGATTGGGGATAATATACGAGTTCAAATGGGCAAGAATAAATTTTTTGCAACAATCTTGCATAAAATTAGAGCATTTCAAAATTTACTTGTAAAAACCCAATAATAGATATAAAAAATTTATTTTTGTGAATGTTTTTAATGACATCAAATTATATATTGGTCCTACTGCACTTGCAAATTCACCCCCTTTCCAAAAAAAAAAAAAAATTAAGACTGGTTGAGTAGAACCAGAGATATTGTTGCTCTAATATAAAACCATCAGAAATGCCACCAAGGGGAAACAGGTAAAAAAAGAAAAAATTGCCATTGAAATGTTTTATTGAAGAGACCCTGCCACAACAGACCTATCGACACGAAAATATTGTTCACGACTGTATGGCCGATCCCACTACAGAGCATTGCATGCATGGATCAAATGTTTATCTCAAATGCATTTCATGACTTTTCACCGTTGATTCTGTTAAGTTACATGCCATCGTCACTTCACCACAACAGTCGCACTTCACTACCAGTTTCTTAGCGAGGTCGTAGTCGCGGTCACCTGTGACTACTTTCGCATACCCGCCACATACTTCGCACCGTAGGGAAGCAGCGAGCAGCCCATTCAAGATCTCCACGTCGACGATAAAATACAAAGCTGCAGTGTCCGCGGCAGAGGCCGATGACGTGTGGCTTGCATCAGTGAAAACTGCCGTCTTTCGCACTGTTTCCGGTGTCGACTCAATTCGATCAACCATGACCTGCGCACGAGCACTCACTTGGTCTATGCCGCTGCTTGTGACAATTTCGAAGTTCTGTTTGGCATCGCATAAATCTGTCACCAGATTGGGCAGATAAATTTACTCCTGTAGCTGTGCCTTTCTCGAGTGCCTATGCAACGTCGGCCATTTTAATGAATGAAATGAAAGTGCAACAAGCGTTGCAGAAGTTGGGGTATGTGTGCAGCTGTGCAATTAAGAGGTCAGACTCGATCATGTTTCAGAATCAAGGAATCAATGCACAACGACGCGTTTTGAGTACACACTCAAGAGGAGCTGAATTTGTGCGCCGCTTTTCAATATATCTGACTCGTGTCGCCAAAGCACGGAATAGGCCAGGCAGGCTGCTTTATCACCACTGCTGAAGCTAAGCGCAACTCGTTCATCCACCCTTGGTACTAATGGGCATTGAAACCGAACTTCAAGAGAATTAATGGGAGCCTATGACACTGACAAGCTGGAAGAAAAGTGTGTTATGTACCCATAGGTTGCCTTGCTATTGCCTTGCTAGAGAAAGCAATTTCGCTCTTGTCTGCTGTTCTGTGAGCATGCGATTATAAGTTGTGCCATGTGCGCAGTTCCAATGTCTTTTGTGACCATATTGCACAGATCTCAGGGTTATTACTTGAATGTTCAAAAAAAAAAAAAAAACAGCTGTTAGAGTGCGCCAGTTTGTGCGTCTATTCGATGTCCTCCTGTGCCTGCGAAATTATTTCAAGATAGTTTTAATCTTCATTAGTACAAGAGTGAACTATATGTATTGCGCTGACACAAAGAGCGGAAGCACCGCAGCGTTCCCATCGTCATGCGTGGTCGACGCGGCACGATCAGTTGTGTTGTGTAGACTCTTTACCTCTGAGACACGATCCGACACGTTCAGAATAGGGAACGCATCGCCTCCTGCAACTCAACTCAGATTCCCCAGAAAATGCGTTATTGCACGCAGTCAACAAGGTACGTACAGCTACAGAAATATTCCGTGCTTCAGCGACACGAGTCCGATGCATTGAAACACGGCACACAAATTCACTTCCTCTTAAGCATGTACTTATACGCGTCGTCGCGTGTTGATTTTCTAATTTAAGACACGATAGAGTCCGACCTCTTATTTGTACAGCTGTGCACACGCACCTACCTCTGCAACGCGCGTTGTAGTTCCGTCCTGTTCATTAAAACAGCCTACGTCGCACAAAGGGTGTGCTTTTTAGACACAGCAAAGTAACAACTGAACTTATTCATGTTTAAGTGTACCTGTGAGTACGTTTCGTGCATCATTTGTCCGTGAGAAACGTGAGCACGTTTCGTTCTGCTTTCCATTCTTCGTGTGACTGATTTGTTGCTATCGCATACATTGCTTCACCTTTGCAGCAAAGCTGTGACTGTTTGTTCATTTTCATTTGATAAGGTGGCAAGCTGAGTGTTGCCGGATCGAGCAATAAAGAAAGCCAAACACAAGAGCTTTTCAATGACACCAAAATGGCCGCGTTGAAGCGGGCCATTCAAGAGTTACAGGCAGCCGAAATCAGCGCTATTTCTTCAAAATTGAAAGGACTGGGGGCAAGCTAATGCATCTTTGGCTTACTGTTATGCCGCTAATGCGTGGGATTTTGAAACGAAAACTTGCACACAGGTGCCCGATAGTAGAAAGAATACAAAAAAGACACTTCTAAAAAAATTCGATTTTCGGGCAAATTTTCGCATCCCAAGAGCCGTGTCTTCCCTTAATATGGCATGATGCCGACAATACAGTATGACACTACATAACTGCTACGCCCCTGAATGAGTCTCTCTTTGTGCTAAAAGACAACTCTAAAAGGGCCTCCTTGTGAAGCGGCATGCACAAAAGTCAATAGCATGGTTCATGAATAGCATGCTGCCTCCTTGGGTTCAATTCCGGTAAGAAACCAAGATGCCTTTATTCCTGTCGCTGTAAAATTTAGCTGCTACGCATACAAGCTGCAGCAGACACCACTAAAGAACCATTATTGTAGTGAGGTCATAACTTACACTGTAAAACAATGGTAGGTGGAAGACCTATTGCCTTCAGAGAAAATGTGGGCCTTACAAAACTGGCTCACCTTGGTGCACGTCGAGTAAAAGTAAAAGTAGCAGTCATCATTCTTTCGATCATGGTTGGCAGCCATCACTTTTGCTTGGCGCTACCTTGGGCTGTTGTTAGTTTCCTAGCTGTATTGTAGTTTCGAGTAGGCTGCCTTGCTCCTTTCCTGCAAGTGAGAAAGTTACCATTTTAGATCATCTCATACAAAAGTTTATGTTTTCATACAGACGGTACAGTAACAGCTATTTCCACTAACTGCCCTTGCCCCGTCTATCCCTAAAATGAATGCAGGGGCTAGATAGGCCCCGACTGTACAGACACTTTATAGCTTATTGGTAACAAAGTATAACAGCTAAGCAAGTTCTTTAAAAAGCACAAATCTGCTAAGCTATTGACTTTCACATTCGTGAAAACTATCACTCTAGGGCCACTGCCCAGTCAAAAAGAAAAAGCAACAACAAATATAGCAAAGCTCATTCACTAGGCTAGATCATGAATAGCTGGGGACACCTCAATCGCTCCTCAATTGTAATCACCATTACCTTTGATGGGTACTAATGAGAGAACGTACCTTCCAGCATTTACAGCTGCCAGTCTCAAATGAGACAAGTCTTAGAGGTAGTGAGACTGTGGAAGAGAATGTACATCTAGTTCAACTACCAACAGGGAAGCCTACTTGAAAGCATATTCGGCACAGATTAAGGTTGAGCTGAAACACATACAGTAAGCATTCCCACATCATGACCGCCAACTATCACGACTCCTAGACCAACTAGCGCAGGAGAATTTCCCAAATTCGTATCACAGCAGAGTTTGTATCACCAAGACTACTGTATCGTAAGTTAACTATTACAGCAGACCCTCACTGATATGTTTATCGCGGGACGATAAACAATACCATAAAAGCCCGTATATAGCTTAGACCCATATATAGCCCAGGGTGCAATTTGGGGATAGCAAACGCGAGAAAAAATGTTTTCACCTGAATATAGCCCGAGTAAAACAGAAAAATGTATTTATCGACACACTTCATTTATCATCGCCGTCAGACACACTCTTTCGAAGCTCCCTTGTCTGAAATGTTCTCCCACGGAACATCATTCGCAGCGCCATCAAGCGCCTTCCGAGATTGAGCATTTTTTTAACGTGCGGCAAACTAGCGCCTCGGGAATACAGGCGCAAGCCATGACTCCACAAGCCCAGCATCGCTGGCGAGGCCCGTTGCAGCCGTCCGGCAGGGGTCACTTCTGCTTCTCCGGACTTCCTCCTCTCCACATACAGGTGCTTGACATGGTCCTTAATGTAAGCAAAATTGCGATTTGGCCTAATTGAAACAAATCCATCTTGAAATGTTTGCGCAGGCACACAGGGACACAGAAGAGAACACAAACGGGTGCATTAAGCAATGCATTGCAACGAGTGTGCATATTCTCCTTGTTGTAACAATACTACCTTGGAATATTGGCATTGATATAGAATTTCAAGAGAAATAAATGGAAGCTCATTTCATTGACAAGCTGAAAGATGCGTGTTAGCCAGCCTTCGGTTGCCTTACTAGCAAAAGAAATTTCGCTTCTGTCTGGTGTTCAGTGGGCCTGTGATCGTAAGTTGTGATATGTGCGGAGTCCAAATGTTTTTTTTGGTAACCAAATGGCACAGATCTGAGGAGTACTAAGTGAATTATTTCGAAAAACAATCCAGTGGTTAGAAATTGTGCCCGATTATATTCTATTCTGTGTCCCCGTCTGCCTGCACAAACATTTCAAGATGGGTCTTTCAATGGCTTATTAAGGCACACATCAAGCGGCTGCAGCTGTGATGTCATCCCAGATCAGTGCGGCAATCGCTTTATCGAGTCTGTCAGGTAACACCAAAACTCATCAAGCACAAGCATTGAAGGGAGCCCCAGCAGTGCTCCGGGCCGTCGACACCATATGGACTTACCGTATTTACTCGATTCTACCGCGCCCTCGATTGTAATGCACACCCAATTTTCATTGCGAAAAAAAAAAAAAACATAAGACATCGATTGCAACGCGCACCCATTTTTCTCGCTGGCTCGCACGATCACACCACTCGAAAAAACGACTCCTTTCGGGAGCGTATTCCATTTAAATATGAGGTACGGGCGAAGCTTGTGCCCATCTGACGTGTAACAGAGCATTGCCGTCACTGTAGTTTTACCGTAGACCGATGTCAGCACACGAACTTGCTTCGCCCCGTTCTTCTCGACGGTTGTGGTGCCAGGCATGTCGAAGTAAAGAGGCGTCTGATCGGCATTCCCGATTTTCCCAAGCAGGTAGCCGTTGTTGCGCCGCAAGTTAAGGACGAACCTCTGAAAACTGTGAAGCTTTTCATCGTACTCCGCAAAAATTTTCGCATATGCATGTTCCACTTCGGAGGGAAAAGCCTTTCCTCTTCATAAAGTTAGCCAGCACCTGCTCGCTTTAAACTGGCTTCGCATTAGACCTTTTTTCTAAGACTAATTGCATAGCCCGCACTTGGAGCAGTTCTGTCGTCACGGGCCGCTGTGCCACTCGCTGCTCAAGCACATACTCGCCGAGCAGCTCTTTAATTTGCGGAAACCGACCCTGCTGTGGTCCACTGAAACCTTTGCGTGAAGCTTTGCTGTCGACAATCTTATGCTTTTGTTTCCGCCGGGAATTCCCGCACGCACGTTTCGGGAATTCCGAACGACCGCGATGCGGCCCGATTTCCGTCCGTTTCTGCACATGCGATGACTTTTCTTTTAAAAGCGGCATCGTGGTGCACTCGAGTTTTTGGAGTCGGCCCTTCCACGCCATCGATGCTAATGCACTATTAGATGACGAACTCCTCAGCACACGTACGAAGTGCCGCACATGGGAAACACAGGCAGAAATGGCCGACGCGCCATGCCGACGCACGTAGGGGGCGGCCATTTTGGATTTGCCGATGGCAATAGATTGACCGTAATTTTTTTTGTTCGTACTCGATTCTAATGCGCATGCGATTTATGAACTCGCTTAACCGGAAAAAAGGTGCGCGTTAGATTCGAGTAATTGCGGTAATCCAATCAAGCACTAGCGATTTGTCCATCCACCTCTTGTCCTGGCAGCAGACGACAACATTTTTTTAGAAACACCTCCCCTTTTGGCAGCGTCTTTCGGTTGAACACTATGCAGGGAGGTAGCTTGCAACCATCTACAATGCAGGACAACATTACAGTCACCCGTGTTTTTTTTTTTTGTTGTTGTTCTCAGTGATCGCACGATAACTTGCCTGAAGCCTTCTGATGCACCGTCAGCGCTGAGGGCATATCCAGGTAGACCGGCATTTGATACCCATTGCGGATCTGGCCCAGATGAAAGAGGACAGCCTTTCGCAATGCAATTACATACTTTTTAAACTTCACAAGGTCCTCTTCGTAGCCCTTTGGTAGTTTCTGCGAGATTGATGTACACAGACCTACGGAGAGTTCAGCGTGGCGCATGAAGAGAGACACCCTACGCTAGCTCGCTTTGAAATCCTCCGGCTGAATACCTTTGTCTCTGGCAATCTCCCTTGCCTTTGCTTGTAGCAGTCGATGTTAACAGCGAGATGTTAACAGCGAGATGTGCAGCGAGATGTGCAGCTCGCTGCTCCCGCACAAAGTCTGCGAGTTCTTGTTCCTTGTCAGGAGATGCTCCATTTTTTGGTCCGCGGAAACTTCTTTGCTGGCCGCTGCAAGCAAAGAAGGGCGTCTTTCTGCTTTCACCAACCGCAAATACTCTGCTCTGCTCGTCGACTCAGAAATGCCGCTGCACAGCACAGCTGCCCGGCAGCAGCGATAAATTTCCTTTTAAAAGCAGCCGAGTACTGCCTGCACGGTGCTGACATGGAGCAAAATCGCGGGAGCAAAATTGTGGCCGTCGATATGAGCACCAAGTTGAAGCAAAGGCCACTGACCACTGTTGCATGCAAGGGTCTGTAAGACTAACGCCTGCTACCGCCGCTAACACTACCTAGCACAAAAGGTCACAAACATCTGATGATGACAGCACCGTACTATGACAAAACCAAAACTGAATTTCAGCCGAAAATTCTTGGGACCTGCATATAGTACGGGGCCGAAATTTCGCACCCTAAAATCTTGAAACAAAACCTCGGGCTATACGCAGGCTTTTACGGTAAACGCGCTAGTAAACACAAGAGCCGAGAAACAGAAAAAACTAAAAAAATATTAGGTGGCACAGAACCTTATTTCAATGCATACACTTGAAAAAGCCCTGCAATCCAGCCTTCTGTGCTTATTTCACTCACGATAAAGCAGCCCAAGAAGTTTTTCAAGCAGCTGAAGCATGGCCGACACCTGGCAAGTGGTCACTTTTGGCGACAGCTTCGGAAGATTGTCACCAGATGCGTCAACGTCTCGAAGTGATAATTTAGCACTGTTGACAATGTCAGACCCCCATAGCTTGTAGACACCTGCCTCGCTTATGTGAAGGTATCCTAATAAGCAATCATTGAAGAAAATTACCCCCGCTCCAATGACTACCAAACTTTGTCACTGGTGCACGCACTGGTGCACTCAGCCGTCTCTAACCAAAGAATAAAACCACAGAGTGAACAACGGTGTCATCCACAAAAATGTAATCGATGTATGCCATTCTTTTGACAACCACAGCTGTAAACATGATGGAACTAAGCCCACGCAACATGACCAGTACAACGAGTCCAACCGTGAATTACACGAACTCCACTGAATTAAAAATAACGAATCCATACATATGTGACAGTGAAAACCATATGCAGATTTCAAAGGCCTTATTTGCACTTTCACTTCACGATGTAATTGCTTTACTTTCAACAAGTTTAAAACCACTTAGATCGTAAATCCCATATTTATAATAAGACTCCTGAAGGCTGCGGTTTAGTTTGCCATCACCGAAATATGTTATGCGCGTTGCTCGCTTCACCACGAGGCTAATATTATGACATAGCCAGGCCAAGCTGTGTGAAAAGTCAACCTAGCCACTTTCATTCGTGGTTGCTTGGCCAGCTAGGAGTGCATTTGTTAACGTATAATACGGAAATGGTCCCGCAGTTGTGACGTAACAGCGGTGTTCCCAATACATTGAATCCTATGGCACCTATCTGTGAAAGTGACGTAACAAGTTCTTTAGATAAAACTTCTTTAGTATTTGT